GGCGGCGTCCATGCGTGGGTTCGAATCCCACCGAGGCTACTGAACTTTTCACAATCGACATACAAACTTCAAATTTTCCAAACAACTATTTGATTGATTATTCGCATTTAACTCACAGTAGTCATTTGAACTGACTATCCTTCGGATTTCACCTTTAGGCACAATCCTCAACTCAATGAATACAAAATGATTTTCTAATTATTGTTTAGTCATGTAATTTCAGTGTCTTTCTAGTGTTTGCCAAGTTACGTAGGTGGATTTGAAGGGAAAAGAACAATGCAATGAATCGAAACTTGGTAATGAAGCGGTTACAAATCACCAACAAAAGGCTTTCTAGATCCTGTGCTTCGATACCACGAAAATGCTGTAATGCGTACAGACACTAGGCTCTCGCAGTGCAGCAGCATGAGCACGAATGCGCGACAAAATGTCCACCGTTCCGTCGTCTACATCGGGATATCAGAGGATACGCCCCAGCAGTTGGGCAAATTAATGTTGCAAAACACACCAGATGGCTATCCTGACGGAAAGCCAAGAATATGTAATTGTAATCCGAAGCTGTTGATATTATGTGAAACAATGTTACTCAGGATAAGTAACCCAGTTCTCCGTGTCCAATATTTACTAACACAGATGTTGCGCTTACCGAGGACATGACCTTAGTTCATTTCACGTACGTATGTACGTTCTTTGTAGTTGTTCACATGTTGTGCGACAGTTCAGATAGTTTCACGTGGGGAGTAGAAAAGAGCGAATAGTATTGTGAACATCTTGCAGTATTTGTTTAATCTCCTCAAACTGACTAATCATAAATATGTATGTGAACTAACACGAGAGAACAGAACTTACGCGAATATTTGTCAAGCTTAACAGTTGATGAATGTCCGAATGAGTGAGTAAGTGAATTGGTCCGCTTGAGGGTGGTCGCTGAGTACTACTCTGTTCTGACGAGCTGGATGTCGTTAACAGTGTGTTAAACGGTTGACCCACGGAATCCCCAGCACCACGTGTCAACCGTTCCTGATCGTGCGCTTCCGTCTGTTGTTGTTGTTGTTCTCGTTGATTTACGGATGAAACTGGTTGTCGTGATTGCATTTCATTGACTGTGTGACCAGATTCGCCCGTGTTGGTTGCTTCGCCCAACGGTCTCGAGTCTAACAAGTTACTTTCCTGTTTCAAAGCGTAGTTCTCACCAGACAGGTAGGTGGACAGGTTCACTCCACTGGGAATGTCTGTGGTTCTGTTGGTCACATCGCGCCACTCTGATGCTACAGAGGTGCCGACCATTGGACTGGCGGAGGATACCGGGAGAGGATTGGACTCCACCAGAAGATCACTCCAAACAAAATGCAGGCGACCACTGGGGGTGCTTGGTGGAGCTGAAAAATGACCATCGGTCGAACTCTCCAGACCATGCAATAAACGATTCACATTTACCTTGCCATCATTGACCTGTGGTAGACCCATAGTTCGAGGCGCAGTAGACACGTTACAAAGTGGGCCGTGTGGGAGTTGAGATGGCATTGCCAATGGTGGTTGCTGCGGTTTGATGGATTCCAACACGGGCTCTGGATTATTTGGAAATAGTAAACTAGACAAAGTTGTACCCTCTGTCACATTTAGTGTCGTGCCAGCAGGACGACCGCGGTCAGTTGGAGCCAGTGGACCCGGAATGATCCGCCATTGTGGTAGTCCACGAAATGCCCCTTGACGTTGCAGAAGGGGCACAGTCCTCTGGGACTGTGGATCCCCTTGAATGCGGCTCTCGAGTGATGTGCGACGGACAGGAATATCTGCTTCCATAGAATTTGGAGCAATGGAGTCTGCGTGTGTCACCCCTAGTGTGTTGGAAGCCACTTCCCCCGTTTGGTCCGCTTCTCGGAGATCTGTCTGTGTGTTTGGGCACCCGGAATCTTCAGAATGACTTCCGTAGGACCACAGCTGCTTTGAATGCAACGGATCACTTTCCAGTGAAGTGGAGTGATGACTATAGGTGGTTTGAGTGGGACTTGGAGGGTATAAATGAATGGTTGGTGGATCCGGACGGCTACCTGGCACAACACCATGAATGTGATCGGCAGACGGATGAGACACGGAATCACCATAGTGTGGGGATTGTTGTTGTGGTGCACTGAACTGGGCGCTCGGATTTTTCGTGAAACCTCGTAAACCACGCATCCCAGTCAGATCACGAGCGCAAGCCTCACTGGACGACCGAGCCAAACGGCCTGGTTGACTAGTATCCAACACAGGAAGTTCATGTGGTCCGACAGATGTGCTGTACTGATTGGTGGTCAAATCATCCAAATTGGACGGCATAACATGACCGGTCTGAAAACAGATCAGATCAAATGCATCACAAATATTTCTTAGTGAATGCAATCAATCAAATATTTCTAGTTACTCCTTTTAAATGAGTAATATAAAGTTGTTCGACAGATTGACGGCCATTCAATTGCGGACAAACACAAAGTTTGGTGTGAAATTTGCGTAAACAATGTAAAATATAACTATCTTTGGTTAACTTGTCTTGCACATTGACATTTGTGTAATTCAACATTTTTTTTCTTGCATTCAGTATTTTTATCTTGGTATTGCTTTCAGCTCATAAATTCTTCCCTTCTGGCTCCATCATTGTAACCGGAACCGGTGCACGAAAGCAAACGAAATTTTGGCCTATTTAATCATCAACATACAGGAATCGCCAACACGTCCAAATTGCCTAAAGTGAGAAAAATTTATCGCAATGCGTGCATACGATTCCAGAGTATTGTAAATGCACGGGATAAAAATTGAAATTGTGCCAGAGTAGTATGATTAGTGGCAAATGGTAACTGGGGTTTTCTAGCCTCCAACCATATCAGAATCCATGCGAACGCCAAGCTATTTTGGTTGTTTGAGTCCCAGAATCAAAAGACCGATCATTATCTGTCTGTCCGCAAAGTTGCTCTATCTAATTCAAAAAAAATCCTCCTTACACAATGCGGAAATGACATCGAATGTTTAATTTCAGGTGGTACAACCATTAACCGTGCACCTTTGTGCCCCAGTTCTTTTTTGCTGTCTTCTAGCTGCACATTCGGATAAAGCAGTAGGAGAAAGATGGGAAATTTGAAAGTAGAGTTGACAAGAAAATGGAGAATTTTAGCGGACTAAGGTTGCTAAGAAATTGAGGAGATGTACGAAAGCCACTGTTTACGACACTCAACCATTTCACTCAGTGTCTCTAACCATCGGTTACGATCAGTCTTATTTCACTACCACTGGCTTTTTTCCACCCACTACTTGCCTCGGCGAACATCGCTCGCCGTGGAAGCCTATCTGATGATATGCGTATCAGTACCCCAACCACCGTTATCCATGGAGGTCGACCATTTGTTCCAGTGGACGGTCGTGGTTACCTAAAGCGCTGCGCATAACCTCAGTATGGTTTTTCGGGTTTCCCCACCAGACTCATGTAATGTTGTGTAGATTGCGATGTACAAACAACGACAGTCTATCTTTATCCTGTTTTCCTAATGGCCAAAATTCTGCGCCGTATAGCAGAACTGGCCAAATTACCGCAGCATACACTCGACCCTTCACATACAGCCGGATGTCGGGACGACGCCACAGATGTCTTAATTTGGCAAATTTCAACCGATCCTCATGTATGCGAGCTGACACTTCATCCGTGATGCATCCGCCGAGTGAGATACAACTGCCCAAATAACAAAATGTATCCACTTGGTCTATTACATCCCAGTAAGATTGAGGCTGGGTGCTGGAACAACCTAGCCTTGTATTAACAGTTTGAAGTTTGCACTTTGAAGGTGCGAAATCTATACCTAGCTTAGCTACGCTGGCACTCAAGCTATCCAGAAAAGATTGCAACTTAACTTAATAGTACAACGTCGTCTGCATACTCCAGATCAGACAGTCTGCCACCTGGGAGTAAATCGATGCCACTATCCTAGCACGAGGACAGAGTTATTTCCGAAATCGAATCCATAACAAAGTTAAATAAAAAAAGAAGAGAGGGCAGTTCTGACGAAGACCACTTTCCGTGGTGAACTAGGGTGAAAAATTGCCGTAAGCTCTTCTTAGGAACACGTTTCAACGAGAGGTAGCGTCAGATTATAGAACAGTCGACTGCTACTTTTAGATAGCGGAAGACAGAGATGACGGATCTATGTAAAAAATAACAGTGCTCTAGAATTTTGCGAAGTGGTGATGATGTGGTCGATACAACTTCGAATGTGAACTTTTGTGTTAACACAGTGTCCAAAAAAAACCCTGATGGAAAACACGTAAACTTCAGTCGTTCACACGCATATGTAAGCCAGGCGTGTATTAACCAATAGCCTTAATCAGTGCGGATACAGGGCTATAAGAGAGCAAAAGGTCCTTGAAAAATGATCGGGGAAGTTTGAGCATGTCAGAACCTACATATAGAATTACGAAACTGGATAAAGTAAAGTGTACACAAGTAGTATTGTTAGTTCTTGTATTACATACTGTTCATCTAACCACTTACTTTCTCCGCTTCCAGTGGTTGTTGTTGTTGCTTGCTCCCAGCCGAACTCGTTGGAAGTGGAGCGGAGATTTGCAAGGTCATACCACGATTGGCCACACTGTTTGTCCACACGGCTGGCAAGCGTTGTTTCGCCGCGTTAATCCAACGATGAAAATCGTGCAACGGATTTAGACCACTGCTCCCACTGATCCCGGTGACTCCAAGACCGGTAGAACCACCACTACCTCCACCACCAGCACCGCCTGAGTTGCGCCTTCCTTTCCCGGTACGACCGTTATCCAGTGTGGCCACACCATCTGTACTGACCCGGCCGAGGCTGAGACACTGCTCTTGAATTGTGGCATCGGCTGCGGCTTGTTGTCGTCTACACGAAAATGATGAGGCCGTAAGAAAAATCTCTTATTACGTTACTAATCACTTTTTCCAGTCAAATGAACAACCAAACACCACGCATCTCAGTTTAGACTAGAGCACCTAATTTTATCCACAAAAATGCTAGACCAATGGCTCCGGTCAACGGCGTTTTAGTTAAAAACAAGGAATATTTGGGTTACACCCAAGTAAAGGTACTAATTCCGGGAATCGATTATCAGGTATACTAAGTTTTCATGCTGATTGCATGTAACATTCACTACTACAAAACATTTGAAACATTGCATAGTTATTTTATACAACATACGGCGAATCATCAATGGGTTACGAACGCCACAGGATACTCGGTTGAGCTACTTGGGCTGGTACAAAAAAGCTCGCTGAATGCCAGCACTATGATCATGATGACGCCATGCATTTTATTGGCCTGGTTTGATAGGTGAATTTAAGCAGCCTGGTTAGAAAGAAGATACCAGAGAAACCATCTGAATTGAGATTCGGCTAGAAGATAGAAGACAGGTTAAAGAGACCAGATTTCCTATTGCTGCAGATCACCACCGCCAGCACAAATGAGTGCCACAATGGTCCTATCCCGAAGGTCAGACCGTGCATTGATTGGTCTTCACCTTACCAGAGGAAAACTGTGCAACAGTGAAAGGCTCTCAGTAATTATATCTCATGTACACANATGTACACAACAACAAAATTGGTTTCATTTCCGTGCAATAGATCTATGAAAAATATCTTGAATTCATATCGGAATCAGTTTGTTGTAAGTTATAAGCAGTTGCCCATGAGGCACACTTCTCCATACGCCGGATGAAATCTCAACCCGGACTGAGACCATCAAGTTCTCTAATCGTGAAAAAGATCGCTACGGCCATGACAACCATTTACGTTTACCTGATGTGGAGTAAAGTCCGTAAAAAAGGTCGGTCAATTTATAAATGAGTAAGAACTGCTCTCAACACAGAAAAAAGATTGACCAATAATAATCAAATGATGGAAGAATGCATATTCTCAAATCGATCAACAGAATCATTCATCAAATCAGAAG